AGAAGAGCTATGAGAAAACTGACGACTTGAACAACACTTAGACCTAACAGACAAATACAAATCACTCTGCCCTACAGCCGAATATAAATGTTTCTCAAGTATACGTGTACATTTTATTAAGGCCACATAACCAACCTTAATGAATCTTAAAAGATTAAAATCATACAAAGTATCTTTTCTGATCATAATGGCATCCAAGTAGGGGCCAGCATCAAAAGGAAATCTGGAAAATTCACACATATGAGGAAATTAAACAATACAATCTTAATGGGTCAAAGAAGAAAAACTGACAAGGAAAATTATATCTTGAGACAAAAGTGAAAACACCACATACCAAAATGTATCAGATGCAACAAAACAGAATTAACAGCACAGAATGAAGCACATACATCTCACAGGGCCTCTGTGTGGCTCTGGACATTGTGAGTTAACCCGGTAAGTGGCTTGCTGAAATCTGAGCAGCCAGGAGTGACTGGGTGAACTGGGCTTATGGTTCTGGCTCCAAGTATTCTTCCCTCTGAGGAGTCTCCAGGCATCCACAGAGAGATATGATTAGGCAAAGACAAGTGGTATAATGTGTGTTGGGATGGAGGTGGGAGGGCTTCTGTAGTACTAGTCATGTCTCATCAGGGGAACCTTCAGAGAACTTGGGTTTCTGTATCCCAGTCTTTCATGTTAGAAAGGGTATACACCGTCCACATTCAGAGCAATCTAGTCTGAAAACTCCCTTTCCCCTGGTTACATATAGAAAAGCTATCAAACTTAAGAGCCTGAAACCCTGCCCAGCTGTTCTTGTGTTCAGCCTGCACAGTGAAGCCTACTGGTACATCTTTAATCCCTATTTGTTTTTAATCTCAGAAGGTTACTGTAAATTAGGGACCTTGGTGGGTTTCTCCTCAATGATTATGGAGAGAAGTCTGTGGGTTGAAAAGGAGGAACTAGAGCGCAGCGCCTTGTAAGGAAACTTGGGCTGCTGATGGCTGGACTGCAGCAAGGTGGGCTGCAGCCAGGTCCTGGCTCTGAAGGACCCACGACAGCATTTACCCACTTGCTTTTCCTGTTACCTTGTGCAAGACATGCCTTGAACTTCAGGCACCCTTTGGAACTTGGCCAGATCCGACTGGAGCGGGCACACCAAGCACCAGGTGCCCCAGTGCCCGGTTAGAGCCCTTCCCCTGGGCCTGGGGCTGGGGAGGGTGGGCTGGGAGCCCTGGCACACAGGGACTGGCAACAAAGGCACGAGGGCAAGAACTGCCGTTGGGGGCCTCTGCTCTGCCACTTGCAGCCACAGCTCACCTTCAAAATTAGCGGCCTCCTTCCCAGAGACTTGTGTAGAGGGGGCGGGGCGGGGAACGGGACCTGCTTTGCAAAGACAGTCAGGGATGGACAAATCCATCTGAGCCCACCTGAAGATACTGATTTCGACCTTTCGCCTGCCGTGAGGGGCAAAAACCAACAACAAAACTCTTGCACCAAATCCGCAATGCTAGTGGGGCTGCGGTCGGGTGCCAGGTCCCCTCAGGCTCCCGTCCCCCACCCCCAATCCCCATTTGGATAGAATGAGAAAAGCGCCTGGAGGGGAAAGTTTGGGAGGCACAACCCTTCTAATTTTATTATAAAAATGTTCACCCACTTATGATTTTACGTCTCACAGTTCATTAAAATTATGAGATTTTGCAAACACTGTCAGCAACCCTGTTTTGCCCCCATTTTACAGGTGAAGAAGCTGAGGCTGAAATCCGGTAAACATAACTGCCACACTACAAGTACTTTAGGGGTTTCTCACTGCGGGTCCCGCGTTCCTGGAAACCAGTGTTCGCAGAGCGGCAAAGCTGAAAGGCTGGAGAGAGAGCGAGGAAGGGCAGGAGAGAAGGAGGGAAGGAAAAAGGAGGAAAAAGAAAGGTAAGAGATGAGGAGAAGCGCAATTGATGTAATACACAGCGAGGAGTACCGCTCCGCTGCGGACAGGACGGCTGCGAGGCCCTCGCACGGTGTCCCGTGTGCCCCGCCTGGTCACACGGGGACCCCCTCCGAATCCGCCCCCAGCGCCTGCAGGAGTCTCATCCCGTCGGGCCGAAGGGTCGGAGTTCCTGTTCGTCTTGGTCGCCCAGGGCCGCGCTACGCGATTCACTACCCCGGCCTGGACAGATGAGCCGCTGGACCCACAGCTGGCCGCCGCCCCAGGCCCAGCGCTGGCTACAGCAGGTGTCGCGAGGCCTGGGCGTGCGAGCCCTGGCTGCCTATTTTGGCCCTCCCAGCCTGTCTTTGGGGCTCCTTGGGGTGTGCGCGGAGCTCTGGAAAGTAAGACGTTCACAGCGACCAGAGAGGCGGGAGGAGTCAGGCTCACACGCAGCGGCCCGGGTGAATAAATGAACCGACGCTAGTGAATGAAGGAATACAGGAGTGGAGCGAGCGAGCCCTCGAGGTTGGAGCGTGCAGACAATACCCAAGTTCCCGGCTGCGCCCGAGACCGGGTTATTGGCGCTCAGCTCCTGGACAGCACAGGCTGGCCAGCTCCCCAGCCAAAAAGCGAGGCATTAAGTACACGGAGACGACTATCACAGCGCTAATCTCTCTGTGCCCGCCCCCACTGTTTTCTCAATTCGCTATCGGTCACCGCTCAGCACTCCCGGGTTCTTCACCGGGTGCCCCGCCAGCCCCTTGGGTGCGCGCCGGGCTCAGGGGCCAGGCGGCAGGGAGCCTGCGGCTAGGCCAGGAGGGGAGACGCCCCGCGGGTCCAGGCCCCTGCGCCTGCGGAGCATCGTCCCCACCCTAGAGCTGGGGCAGGACCAGAAAGGGTCGAAACCGAGTTCCTGTCCCGGGTCCTCCTTAGTCCCGCGATGGGATCCCCATATCTCCCCTTCCGGAAAGAGCTACCTTGCCCTGCAGGGCGCGGCCCTCCATCCCAGAGCAGAGCACTGTGGCCTGGGGCTTCTTCTGGAGGGATTTCTGGGAGTGGGCCCGCCCCTGGAAATGGCCTAGGCCTCGCGGGGTGGGGAAGTCGGCCTAGATGGCCTAAGTTCTCTGCAAACCGCCCGATTGTCCCCTGAGCCAGCAGCCCTGCCTCCCGCCTCGGGCTCAGGATGCTCTCCCCGCGCCCGCACCCCTTGCTTGCCCGCGCGGGTCGCCAGGGCGCGTGAGGGCAGCGGGCGCGGTGCACGGGCCTACGGCGCTGCTGCTGGAGGAGAGGGCAAAGCCGGTCAATATGTTTCATGCGGAAAGCACCTTCTTGTGTCAAAATTATCCCATTCTCTAGAGGTTTAAATTAGGATCTCTTTTGTTTTGTTTTTAGACAGAGTTTCACTTTGTCCCCCTCAGTAGAGTGCTGTGGCCTCATAGCTCAGAGCAATCTCAAACTCTTGGGCTCAAGCGATCCTCTTGCCTCAGTTTTTTTTTCATTTTTTTTTAAGTAGAGACGGGATCTCACTCTCGCACAGGCTGATCTTGAAGTCGTGAGCTCAAGCGATCCACCGCCTCAGCCTCCCAGAGTGCTGGCATTACAGGCGTGAGCCACCCTGCCCGGCCTAGAGGTTAATTTAGGCTGTGAAAATGGAGAAGTTGCGGTCTCCATCCACCTGCCCCACTTGCCGTGGGCCCCACTGAATGCTCTCTACAAGGTATTGGTCGCTCACTGTGCGCTGGGACGTTGACATCTAAACTTAAGGGTTCGAGTTTCGGGTTGTATTACTCTCTGGAGGGGGAGCTTCACAGTAGCCCTGTAAGGTCGGTCTTATCACTGTCCCATTGTAGGATTAGGAAAGGGGGTGTAGAGAGATACTGACATTCCCAGAGGGACCCATTAATTAACCCGCCCGAGAAGGCTCAGATTCCCGCCACCACAATGCCACCTCCTTCCAGGGTCACCTCTGCAGAGCACAGGGGTGGCGCTAGGTAAATATCTGTGAATTGAATTCCAGCATCTAGTCGAGCCCGCTGTATTTTCTACAGTGGAGTGTGTCTAAGCTGTATTTGTTCTCTCCTTCCTTCATTCACTGATTCAGAGTCCACCGCGCGCTGCACAGAGGGAAGAGCGCGGGAACAGCCTTACTAAACAGCCGGCAGGTGACGCAGGAGCCGCGGGCTCGCGCCGGCGAGGGACTGTCCTCGGCTCACAGCCCGCAGGCTGCCGAGCTGCGCGCAGCTGGGTCCACTCTGGGGCTGTCGGGAAACTGAGGGAGCTTCACGGTGAACCGAAGCAAGAGCGATTCCACTTGGAGCAGTAGGGTAGCCAATCGGAGCAGAAGAAAAAACAAGGACGAGCTGGAGGCTCGACCCCGAGACTGGGGAGGAGCCGGGGTGGGGGGGATAAAAAGAGAGAAATCGGACCCGAACCCAGACGGTAGCTACGCCTCCCGAATGCTGGGGTGCGGCGGGGGCGTCCAGGGGCCCCGGGCGGGCGCGGCGCCGAGCCAGAGGCAGGATGCGCGGATGCAGCCCCAGCCCCGGTCCTCACCAGCCTGCGAGGCGCCGAAGTTGGCCGGGGCAAAAGCAGCCGAAGCCCGGCCCTGGTCAGGAAGCAGTAGATGTGCTCTCTTAAGAACGGCGCACTGACTGCTCTGGGGGACCCACGGTCAATGTCTGTCGAGCACACGCGTTCCCAGAGAAACCTGTTGGGCCGGGTTCTCCGCGGTTCCACGCGCCGGGGCCGTCGGTGCAGTCTGGTCCGGGGCAGGGGGCTTCAGTTGGATCCCGCGCGGACTCTGCTGCACCTGCGTGCCGAGAGCGGGCGGAGCCGGGCGGGGCGCGGGTCCGGGGCAGGCCGGGGGCGGGCGCGGCAGGAGGCCCTCCCTCTGCCCTCCTCTTTCCTCCTCCCCCACCCCTCCCTTCCCTCTCCCTGCCCCTCTCGGCAGGTCAGAGCTGGGACCTGCGGCCGCCCCAGGCGCAGGGAGGGAGCCGCGCGGAGACCGAGGGAGGGGCCTCGCAGCCGTCAAGAGTCGTAGGAGGACCCGGCCGTCCGAAGCTGATAAATAAGAGACCCGTCGCGGCTGCCAGCCAAGTTGGACGCCCCGACGCGTGCGAGGGCCAGGTCAGCGCTGGCCCCGCGAGGTGAAGCGAGGCAACCCGCGTGCGGCGATGGCCTCGCTGCTGGGAGCCTACCCGTGGCCCGAGGGGCTGGAGTGCCCGGCCCTGGAGGCCGAGCTGTCGGATGGGCTGTCGCCGTCGGCGGCCCCCCGCCCTCCGGGGGACAAGGGTTCGGAGAGCCGTATCCGGCGGCCCATGAATGCCTTCATGGTGTGGGCCAAGGACGAGAGGAAACGGCTGGCGGTGCAGAACCCGGACCTGCATAACGCCGAGCTCAGCAAGATGCTGGGTGAGCGAGCCGGCTGTCGGGCGGGGGGCTGGCGGCGGCTCTGGGCGAGCGGCGCGTGGGTCGCGGGGCTGGCTGTGTCCGGGCGGCTGCTCATCCCCGGGAGCGGGAGTGTGCGCGCGGCGTCCGAGATTTAGGGCAAGGATACCTTGGTGAGGCCCGAACTGAAACCAGCCCCAGCCAGGGCTGCCCGGGAGGTCTCCGCCCTGGAACGGGAGCCGAAGTCGGAGTCCCAGGGGGGCGGGCGGGACCTGGCAGCGGCCGGGACCCCAACCCGCGAGCATGGATGCTGCCGGACGGAAACGTCGAGGCTGGGTGGAACCCGCATTTGCTAGGAATCCCGAAGCAGGAAAACCCGTCATTCCCTGCACTTTGCAACCGGGACAGTCACAGAGGGGTTGTCACCGATGGAAGTTAACTAATGTTTGTGAAGAGAGACGTTTGGGGAACGAATCCCTGCTTTAAATCAATTATTAAAATAACCCCAAAAAGACGATTTGCTAATCTAGTTCTGAATCTTTTCAATCTCAGGGGTTTAGATAACTCGATTCAGATGTTTAGGGAGGCCAGTGAGAGTACTCTAGAGCCCGGCCGCTTCCCACGCTGACCTGGCAGGGCCTGGGCACAGGGACCACCAGGCCCAGGGAGCCTGGAGGGAGGATCTTAGGACCGGAGTTCTTGTCGGGTTTTTCTCTCGGATGTGGGATGTCCGGAACTGAGCACTTTACAGTCTGGGCTTACCTCTGAGCTCTTTGTCCTTCCAGACGGTTTTTATTCATTTTAACCGGCCGAAAGCCTTTCAGAGCACACAGCGGTCACCAGGCGCTGTGAGAAGGAACTTGCCCTCTCTGATTCCACCAGGCCCAGAGCAGAGTCCAGAGCCTTTCCTTTTCTGTGGGAGCATTAGGGCCTCTTCCCTGGGCGGAACCCTGGAATGAGGGCTGTGGTCCCTCTCTCTTCTGACCAAAGCCCCAGACCCGCAGGGGCCAACCCTGCAGCAAGGATCTGAGCCCTCCTTCGGTGTAGACCTCTGTAAAGTGCTGCAAAGACGCTGGTGAAGGCTGGTTTCACAGGCCCACTTGCCCAGAGCCCAGCCTCCGTTGGCCAGCTCTGCTAAGGGCCACTTAGTGGGCCAGAGCCTTCCTGGGCCCCTTTCCCCATAAAACAAATTAATAATAAAATTTATATTTTTTACTATGTTGGCATAGGGACAAATATATTAATATATATAATAATAAAACATTTTCCTTGATCTTGAAGTTCATATTTTTCTTTGGATTTTAAAAGAAATAACATGGTTTTTTGTTTTTTTTTTTTT